TTAAAGGGTTAGTTCACCCAAAAATTAAAATTAGCCCATGATTTACTCACCCTCAAGCCATCCTAGGTGTATATGACCTTCTTCTTTCAGACGAATCCAATCGGAGTTATATTAAAAAACTATCCCTTAAAGAACTATCCCTTTAACCATTGACTATAGCCATTCAGCACTACAGTATAATTGAGATCTATCCATTTTAACATTTATTAGACTTTAAAAAATTTCAATTTCTAATTTAAGTAAACTTAATCCTCACATGAACCCATTAAAACAAATGTCATATTTAGCAACCTGTGCCCTTCAGCTAGTAGGAAATATACAGAAATTGAATAAAGTTATCAAACACTAAATTCTAATGGGGTGGCCAACCCTAGCTCTGCCCCTGCGTTAACGGCGTTAAATACTTTTAACGCATTAAACTAAAAAAATTAATCATCTGTGTTAACATGCTAATTTTGACAGCACTAGTCATAATTAAATTCTGCTGTAAAAAACAATGATTTTACTTTTGTTCACACAACTCAACCATATCAAATTAAATAAACACACTGTTTTAATTCATTTTAACAATATTTAACTTATTTATTCTACTAATACTTTATTGAGAAGTGGCCCGTTTGCTTTGACAGGTACATTATTCCTAACAATGCTTTCAGTGTTTTTAATTTCTATTTCATCAAACAATACAACATGATTTTTTTTCTTTATGTTCTGATTCTTCAGAGATTCACTTCTCTGTGAGGTCTTTCATAACAGAAATCCAGATAATGGGTGTGACTCATAGTGGAATGTGGGATAGCTTCTCTGTTCTCATCTTCTGTGTTGTTGGTATCACAGAGTTTTATTGTGGAATATCCTATCATATCATGCATGACTCATTTTTTCTTGCAAATTCTATGTGCCACAGCCTGTCGAGAATACACATGCTTTGTGTGGGTGCAAATTATGTATTTTCAATAGTACTGAATATCTGAAAAAAACTAATATTTCAGTGGAAATTATGCTAAACAGTAAATGAACACTACAGTATATTTGTGTTTACAAAATCTAGATTTTAAACTGTTCAGTTAATTTATTTATAGTGCTTTTCATAAAACCTGATTTTCTGAAGCAGTTTGAGTTTTTTTTCTTTTTTTTTTGGCCACGATTGTTTGAATTTTATGAATTTCAGAAAATGGTTGATGTTTTTTTTTTTTTGAAAGCATATGAGTATTACAGTTATCAATGAATTTTGAGCATTATGCACTGTAAAAATTAGGGTTATTAATCACAAGAATTGTCAGGGATTTTAAATATAACAGTTCTATCTTAGATTTTTTTATTTATTTGTCAATATCACTTGATATTGGATATTTAATTGTGTATGCTTGTTTCGACCTATACTTACATTTAGATGACCTTAGCTGACCTTAAGATGAAGTACATTTTTAAAAACTAATTATAATAATTGAATAACACTGTAAAATGTAACCTTCTTCAAATCTCAAAATAAACATCACTTTTTCATACTGTACATTGCAATGTTGTAATGCCTAAAAATTCACGTGTAGAATTTAAAACTATTTATTGTAGTTTTCAGTGTAATATCAGTGTTATGTCTTCATGGACTTGCTCTCCATTATTAATCTGAACTGCTGTACTATTATTCACCTTCTCGCTCTTTTCGGTCATCTGACTCAAACCTGCTTACTGTACCTCGTTTTTGTCTCACATCAGTGGGTATTTACAGCTTTCTTCTGACTAATGTTCTGCTGTGAAATAACTGGGTATTTGTGTTGTGCTTTCTGGTTTTGCTGTTATACTGTGTATTTAAGTGTATGCATGTGTATATGTATGTACTGTATGCTATCGCTTGCATTCTTGATTGAAGCTGTGGTTATGTATTTTCTCCTTGTACAGCGACCTTGAGATTGGGAAAGGTGCTTTATAAATAAAACTTAACTTTCCTTAATAACAAGTGATGCTGACTCTGTTGCTGAACTCGGATGTGAATTAAGACAGCTTGTCAGAACTTGTACAGATACGATTTTGCAATAAATCTGTATTATCTTATCTGTTGCTATGACCCGCAAACCAGCTTCTCCAGCATCGCACTCATCACTTTTTTTTACGCAGTGTTTGCAGGCACTTACAGAGATGAAGTTTGATTTCCTCATGACGGTGTGCAACCACGAGCACTACATTCCTCTAAACCTGCCCATGGCGTTCGGCCGAACCAAGTTGCAGCGAGTCCAAGGTAGGTCTCTCCACCCTCCACCCACCTTGCCATGGTTTTCCTTGACCCCATCCTCCCCTCCATCCCAGTCTAACAACTTCACCACTTTAAGATCTGCTAGCAGCACCATTCATTATGCCATGTAACTTGAACCTGAAAACCAGCCACACAGGGACTTAAGTGTCACGAAATGGGGCGTGATGGCACTCAAGCTTAACATATAATTTTGGCATGAATCTGAATATTTTTCCCTAAGAGTTCCCCTAAACATTGGATTTAACAAGTTCAGTTATAACACATGTAACACGTAATGGCTGTCATGAGTTTATCAGTTTCACCATTTCAAATAAAAAAAAATAAAATAAAACACTCTCCTTTTACTAAAACTTTCAGTCAATCAGCATGCTTATATGATTGTCGTGTCTCACCATAAACAGAGTTCAAATGAAGGTCAGACAATATGACCTCTCATTCTTTTCATTGAGGCACAGGATTAGCATACTACCATACTACTCACATGTGCAGTGTCAATTATGTGTACTGTGCACAGTATGTACACTTCCTTTCCAAAGTTTGGGATCAGTTATGTTTTTGCATGCTCAGCAATGCAGGATTTATTTGATTAGAAATACTGTAAAAACGGTAATATAGTGAAGTAATATTACAATTTGAAATAGCTGATTTCTGTGTTAATATATTTCAAAATGTAATTAATTCCTGTGATGGCAAAGCTGAATCTCCAGCAGTTACCAGTTCATTTTCAGCGGGAGAAATGCTGCAGGTGTCAGACGCTCCCTGATGAGTTCTGCCTCTTTGTCATGCCTAGTTTCTAGTGGCACAAACCACAAAAGATAAACGTTTCACAGCTGATGCATATCATTGATCAATCAGAGATGACATTATTCTCAATCAATCATTGCATTTGGCTTTGATGTAGTCAAAAAACATGGAGGAAAAATATATTAACTGTGATTTTCCTGTAGTTTTTGAAACTAATATACATTCACTCAAAGAGACACACAAAAACATATTTAAATTATACACACCTTTCAAAAGTTGATCAAAACTGCAGGAAGACAGTACAGTGATATTGCGAAATATTATTAGAAAACCGTTACTTTAAATGGTATTTTATTATGTTTTAAAATGTATTGTAATTTATTCCTGTGATGAATTTTCAGGATCATTACTCTAGTCTTCAGCGTCACATGATCCTTCAGAAATCATTCTAATATGTTGATTTTCTGCTCGCAAAATTTCTTATTATTATCCATATTGTAAATAGTTTTTGTTATATTTTTGTGGAAATCATTATACAATTTTATCAGGATTCTTTGACATACAGAAAGTTCAAATGAACAGCATTAATTTAAAATAGAAATCTTTTGCAACATTATAAATGTCTGTATAAAACAAAATTTTTACTAAATACTCCTTACTAAATAAAAGCATTAATTTCTTTTTTTTTGTTATAATTTAATTCGCTGAATTAAATGTGCATCAATGTAGCATACTGTTCTTTGAAATGTTTATCATTACGTAATGCATAATTAACCATTTAAAGTCCATTTAAAAATCAATAAATAAACAAATGAAAGGAAGTATGTAGTATATACTGTGTGCAGTATTCATTAGTGAGCACTATTCCATTTCAAACACAGCCACACACCCTCACAGCTTCACTTCCACCACTGATAATGGCAATCCTGCATGATTGCTTCCTTTATTCATTATTTCAGATTTTATTTCGTATGCGGCGGAGTGTTTTGGTGTCGTAGGTAGGTGATGCCGACCAATGCCGACGCAAACGCACTTCCAGTCACCAGATAATCATCCTGATAACCCCACTAATTGCCTTGCTGTGCTCCAGCATCATTCATCAATCACTGTCTAACTGCATTTGACGCTTCAGGTTGAGGCCTTTGCTTTTTCTGTAACCAAGCATAACATATTTGCTTTGCTCTGATGAAATTCAATGACTAATGTGTATTGTGACAGGATTTTTGAGATGATTTTACACCACAGAAATTAAAAGGGCAGTGTTTTCCTGCTACCTGAAATGTTTGTTGCTGTAATGAAGTTGTCTGTCTTGTCCTGTCCGCACTTGCCCTTTTTAACTTTGTAATACTACACATGCAGAATGAGTGCGGAAACATCTTGTGTGTGCACTTGTTGTAATCTGGTTTTTATTACTATTATAATACGAAAATGTGAGGAAATGTGGCTGTTCTGTTTTCAATTCTGAATACAGGGAGTACAAAAGATCTTAAAAGAGATTGTTCAGCCGAAAATGAAAAACTTTTCATCATTTACTCACCTTCATGTTTTTCCATTCCTTTCTTGTGTGGAACAAAAAATAAGCATTTAAGTAGCATTTTTCCATTCATTAAGGGTTCACAGTGACTAAACCTCCAAAACTGACGCTTTAGACAAACACTACCATTCAAAAATGTAAGGATTCAAAAGAAGTCTCTAATGCTCACCAAGGTTGCTTTTATTTGATCGTAGATACAGTAAAAACTGTAATATTGCCAAATATTATTACAATTTAAAATAACTTTTCTATTTTTATATATTTTGAAATATAATTTATCCATGTGATGACAAACCTGAATTTTCAGCATCATTACGCCAGTCTTCAGGGTCACATGATCCTTCAGAAATCATTCTAATATGCTGATTTGCTGATTATCAATCTACAGTTGAGTATTTTTTTTTCAGGATTCTTTGATGAACAGAAAGATCCAAAGATCAGCATTTATCTGAAATAAAAAGCTTTTGTAAAATAACTTTTCTATTTTTATATATTTTGAAATATAATTTATCCATGTGATGACAAACCTGAATTTTCAGCATCATTACGCCAGTCTTCAGGGTCACATGATCCTTCAGAAAGTATTCTAATATGTTGATTTGCTTCTCAAGAAACATTTTTTTATTAATATCAATGTTGAAAACATTATTTGTATAATACATTTTCAGTATGAAGTTCAAAAGAACATTTATTTGAAATAGAAATTATTTTGCAAACATTATAAATGTCTTTACCATCATTTTTGATCAATTGAATATATTCTTGCTTAGTAAAAAAAGCCTTAATTTTTTTTTCAAAAATCTTTTGAATAGTAGTGTATGTTATACAAGTCTTTTAAAGCCATACAACATCTTTGTGTGAGGAACAGACTTAAAATCTTCCCCTTCGCTGAATCATGAAATCAGTGAATTGAATTAATTTAGTCCAGTTTAAAAAGAACCTGCTCAAAAGAATGGTTTGTTCACTGACCCACTTGTCACTGTGTGAAGATTCTTCAAACATTCTCCTTTTGTGTTCCACGGAATGAATAACAGCATGCATGTCTAAAGCAACTTGAGGGTGAGTAAAAATTGACAGAATTTTCAATTGTACGTGAACAGCTACTTGTCATTAGAGGATCAATCTTGTCATCAAGATTTTGGTATTATTGCTAAAGAAGGCTATTTATAATTGCATGGCCTATTTTCAATAACAAAAAAGATGCTTTCACTTTAAGCACAAGGTTTTTCTGTCACTTGTTTGATGTCTGGAATGCAGTGAAGTCTGCTTTCCTAAAAGCATTTGAAAGTTGTCAGCCATCAAACCCTAGACACTGTCTTTTCATTTGGATGCCTTTCACTATCACAGATGTCAGTGACTTAACGCAGCAGCGTTACCTGTTACACCTGTATGTTAAGCACCATTTGCATATATGCATCTTTAAAAGTATTGCGTCTTTAGGATGCATGAAATAAAAGTGTTGCTTCTTACTTTTTAATAAAAGGCCACACAGATTGCAAAAACGTTCATAATACTGTAAATGCTAGTGTGGAACATTGCTGACCCTGAAATGATGTGTTTCAGATCAGAGTTTGGAGTACAGCCTGACCGAGGATTATTGCAAAAACCATTTCCTGGTGGGTCTGCTTCTGCGAGAGGTTGCCGATGGACTCCAGGGCTGCCCAGAGATCAGACAGCTGGCTGTGGCTGCACTCAAGAACCTCATGATCAAACATGCCATGGACGACAGATACAATGCTTTTAAGGTAAGTTGCGTAATTTCACAAACATATGTATCGTTTTAGAAAGGACAGGACAATTCCTGTCCCTGCTGCTGCTGAATAGACAGGTGTCATCAACCTTTGTTCGCAGAAGACAGATAGTTGTTTTGCATGTGCAACTTTACATAACTGTTATGTTAATAATGTTAATGTTAGTCTCCATGAGTCTTTTGTTTCGCACTGTTGGTTTAATTAGTAGTGTTTACGAATAACGGTGTTTATTTTTGTTATGATATGATATGATACCGGACATACAGGTGTATGTCGCTTAAACAACGTTCGGAACGCGACACTGTTTGAAAGTGGTCACTTTTCATGGTTGCACTGTGGCGAGGGAACAGCTGTATGTGTTACTAAGCGTGAAAGTTCCGAAACTGAAGCTGTAGAACTAATAGAACATGATGACAGAAGAACTCATCCACAATATCCACATTGACCGCCACAAATATCCACCGCCTGCTGCCATCAGCTCCCGCGTCTCACACACACGAGTCAGACGATGCCGCGATTATAAATGAGAGTGACTCCTGGTCAGTTGTAATCCATACAACTCCATTTGATGAAACTGAAGCGAAACAATAGGTATGTGTGAAAATACTATTAACTTAAAGTTTTTCAAACATTTCTTCCTTCAGAACATTGTGAAGCGTGGCATGAACACATTGTGAAACTCACGAGAAGTGATGCCGAAACACAGATGACCGTCACTTTTTGTGTGAGTTTCACGTGGGATGTTTATGTCGAGTGTGAACTTGTATGACAGTTGGCTAGAAGCAATGGTTTAGAAAAAAAGAAAATAAAACACTCAGTTGGTTCAACAGAAGACAGAAGGTCATGTGCATACATGATGAGAGATTGTTCATTGTTGGGTGTAGTGTACCTTTAACCCACACATATAATGACAGACATAAATGACTCCTCAAATCATGCAGCTTTTTGAGGAGAGGTGTGCTATTACTTTTCTAAGCCAACAAATTTGCTAATTTTGTCTGGCAGCAAAAAAAAAAAAAAATCAGATAGACCTGGATTAAAAATGGAACTGGAGTTGTATCTAAAGACTAGAATATCATAGGCACTTATGGATTAACTTGGACTAGTAAGCAGTCACCTAGACCAGTGTTTCCCAACCTTTTTTTAGTCGCGGCACCCTTTGGAAATTTTAACAAACTTGTGGCACCCTACAAAATTAATTTTGTCACAATATTTGAATTTCTAACTTCGATATGATAATTTGAAAAGTGACGGCACCCCAGGGTGCCGCGGCACCCCGGTTGGGAAACACTGACCTAGACCACCATAGCAACTGCATAGAAATAGTCTAACATCCTCTCATATATCCTGTCATGTCATGGCAACACCCTAGCATCATGGTACCTCACATTAGCTTCTGAAAATGTAAAACCTTGTTTATTTGGATGTTTTGTGTATTAAAATCCCATGTCAAGAAATTAAATACCAGATTCAATTTAGATAAATACCAAGTAAATGTATTAATATATTAATTAATACGATGCAGCACAAATAAGTGTTGTTAAACTTTTCTGTACAACATGCACAGGGATGCAGGAGTTTATTTGAGATGACCCCAATGCATAAGCAGGTCGATGTTATTGAAATTTGTGGTATTTGCATCTTTTATCAAGGAGGGTGGCCGACAACAATGCAAAGAAATCCTCCAGTTATGTCCGAACCGTTGTCACCATTGAAAATAACTGCTGCACATTGTGTTTGCATTCATCTCACACAGACAAGACGTCTGTTATGCAAATGCCAGATTCAGTGAGTCCAGATCTAAGTTCCAGATCATTGGCACAGACATGGCTTTCGAGCTCCTGCTGCAATCGCATTTCTTGAGAAGCCTCTATGATCTGTTTATGATATGTTCACATTTTTTTTTAACATGACTCGGCTACTACTGGTGCCTGAACCTCTGGGATAATCATGGGATAGTTTCCAGAAGACAGTGAACATTAGAAGCTAATATGGTTTGGTTTTTAGCTGATTCTGTATGAAACATGCTTAACTGTATGAGCAACATCATAAAAATGACAAGAATGACGTAAAAACATACGGGACAGGACATTCCAGGAATATTTCCAACAATCTTAGAAGTTTAGTCTTTAGCCTAGTAGTTGTATTTAAGTGGTGCTTGCTAAGGCCATGGTTAGGGATTTTATTATAGTTATTTTTATTTATAGACCATTTTCTCATGTCGTTCCAAATGCTGTTCCTTTAAGTGAACAGACTTATCTTATTTGCCGTATAATTTAGAAAATATCGTAGAGAAAAGTTAATTTTATTATTATTTATATACCATTATTTTGAATTGGCTTTTATTTTTATATTTTGTTATTTGCTTTTGACATTTTCATTATTATTATTATTATAGATTTCTTTCCGTTTTCATTTTAGTGTATTTATTACTTCAACTTAAATGTATTTAAGTTCTCAAGTTAATTCAAATTTCAATTTTTGTTTAAGCTTTGTAAGGTCAATTTTTTAAATTTAATATTTATATTTTGTTTTATTCCAGCTTTTTTTGAGTAAAAAAAAATATTTGTAATAGTTTTTATAGTCGATACTGATAGAGGCTTGGGTTATTTTGACTTGGACCGGTAAGCAATTACCCAGTAGCACCCTATCAACCATTTAGCCAAAACCACACAAATATTTTTGAATTATTGTGTATTGTAGCAATTTTTTTTAAATTTATTTCTGCATTATTAAAATCATGGCAGCATAAATGAAATATACACAGTAAAACCACTAATATTAAGCAACTGCAGTCTTTGACTAGTGATAATTTTTTCTGCTACAGTGTTTCATAATAATTTGTTTCCTTTAATCTGATGACAGAACCATCAGGCCCGCATCTGTCTGCTGTACCTGCCACTCTTTGAGCTACTCTACCAGAACCTGAGCCACATGAACAGCCCAGGGCAACTCTGCAGAAATGGCCTCGGCTTCATGGTAAACATCCATTTCTCTCTTATCTGGGATCTACAATGACTCTGTCTTCATCTGTTTTGTGAAATCAATGTTTTATGAAATGCACATTGCTTAATCAATTGAAACTCCATTGAAACTTCTTAAATGTCAGTCCAAGAAGATAAGACAAATCAGAGGCATTTAGAAAATATTAAAGGGGTCATATGATGTGATTTCTATTCTTCCTTTTCTTTAGTGTGTTATGTAGCTATTTGTGCATGTATAAGATCTGCAGAGTTACAAAGCTCAAAGTCTCCCACAAAAGGATTTATTCTATCTAAAAGAGAAGGCTGATCCAGGCTGGGCGAAAACGCCTCATTCAAACACGCCCCCACATATCTACCTCACTATGTGGAAATATTTGCGTAATGCCGCCCAAATGTTCATGCAAAGAAAGAAGGCGTGGTTTCAGGAACTGCAGTGTTGATGCAGCCACGTCAGGGAGACGCTGTGTGTTTCAGTGCGAAAGCAAAAGCACTTTATTTGGCCTTCCGGAAGTAGATGCAATTAGGAATCATTGGTTAAGATTTATTTACAACAGAACAGCACAACCCAGATGTTCGAATTTGTGCAACGCATTTTATGGACGACAGTTTTGTGAACCT